ATGAACTATGATTGATGGAAATATGAATCTTATATATCCGTGAACGAGCTTATAAATTGTAAAATATCTGGGACGAAACTAGTTTTCCTTAAAATAAAGTTTCTTGGCGTGACTGTGTGTTAAAGACTTCACGTATTGGGTTTAATCCTGTCCAGCATTATGAAATTGTAAAATACTTTCACAAAAACCGCTGTACAAAGGAAATTAGGCAGATTTCAGCGGGAAAGCTGTGGACATGCGCAGTGCGTTTTTTCACCAGTGTCGCCGTAACTTTATACATGCATCAGGAGTTCCGTAGAACAATGCATCCGCCATCTTGAAAAGTGAGACTCAAATCCCTAAATTATAACTCCTAAAGAAATTAAAAGGTTCTAAGTTAATGTAAATCTAATATAATATACGTTATGATGATAGATTAGTTGACTAAGCAGCTATGAAATTTGTTCTAAGGCAAAACAGTGATTCAGGGCTCACTTTTCAAGATGGCGGACACATTGTTCTCTGAAACTCCTGATGCGTGTATTGCTTTTGGCACTAGCTTGATCCTCATTTCATCTTTAAAATACGTGTACAGTTTGTATATTTTTGGTCGTAGCTCACAACAGCAGGAAAAAAGTCGGTATTAGATTGAATTTTCGTCGGTTATTTCCGTAGCTCGTTCGCTAATTGCCAAGGCACGAATCTATTTCAATCTAAATTTCTTCGTYCTTAGTTCGGAACTTCATCGGTTTTAGATCGAGCCTTATTCGGYCTTCGGCGAGAAGTCTATGGTCAGTCTTCAGCACAAATCAGAATTGAAAAGGYATATTACATTATCTAAATAATGAAAAAACAAAAACATCGAACCGTTCAGAAAATATTTATATAATCCCCACTGATTCAGTCGCGTTATTAGTAAAACTTAAGACTTTTCAACGATATCTTATCAACTATCGATGGACTTTTGTTTGAGAAGTATCTCCATGTACATCAGATACGTTGCCCCAGGGTATGCAGCTAGTACACACGTTTTTATTTTTGAAACGAAAATAAAAAAGATAGTTCTACATCTAGGGTCTCCACTTTGAAATTTAAAACGTTCAAATGTTGTCCTAAATCAGCGGGCACCGGTTAAGAATATTGTAGAATAATTATAAAACATACAATATAGGCGATGTGCAGCGACGCCATTTTGTGCAGCAAAGCATGTTGGGAGTTATAGTCCTCGTACATTTTTAGGTCCGTGTTTTTTTTTTGTTTTTTTTTTTTTTTTGCTTTTGCTCTTTCCGAAAATACAAGGGTGTCGTTTCTATAAAATCTTTTAGCTTTTTTTAAAATTAAAAATTAAAATTTTTTGACTTAATAACAAGATTTTTAGAAAAACATAATATAAGGAAAGATAACTTATAACTATTTGACCATCACACGTAATAGTCAAATTTTGTTTCACGGGTTTAATTTCTTTATTGAAAAAGTATTTTCTTTTTCACGCTTTATAGAGTTTCCATTCTACATTGTAGCTCTAACCGTAGGGGTAGAAACGACGCACATAGAGTGCCAAAGGCGTGGCTTATGAGTAAACGGTGTTTTATTCCCCCAATTCTAAATGTACAAGCTCATTGCGTGCTCCAAGCTCTTGATATAAGTGATACCTTAGACTATAAGTCTATCCGGAATCATTCTTTCAACATTCGGTACCCATAAACCGTTAATGCTGTTGACATATATCTTATCTTGAAGCTTAATGAATGTTTATGCGACCACAAGACGTCAGAAAAAGTTCAGAATCTAGAGGTGTGGAGTTGAAGATACATCGCAGAAGGCTTTTTAAAAAAACGTAAACACACATTAAGCAAAGATTTTGAAAGAAGTTTTAAAACACTATCTKAACTATTCGAAAGTTTTTGACCTCGAACTCCAGCCGAACTACAAAACAGCTCGCTTGAATCTTTTGTGGAAAAAATAGACATGTCGCTTTGGCTTAAATTCTTTATGAGGGTTTAATTACTTGCGAGAGGACCAACGGGCATTTTAAACGATACTCGATTATTTAAACAAGTGTGTATAGAAAACTGTGTAAATATACAGGATACTATTAATACCCAAGGGACATCCGGAAACACTTAATATCCATTACAAATAAACAGTACTTTTGCCACTTTAGTCCCTTAAGAATGATTAGAAAGAGATGATTTTCTTTCCACGTTTTTTACATTAACATAGCATAACGAAATAACGGTCAAT